TTACAGTTATTATAAACTATTTATTACAGATTGAAAAAATCTTCAGCCGAATATTATTAAATTAGTCGGGTTGTCCGTCCGTCCGGGTAATTAATTATATATTTCGAGTAGTCTTATAATAATAATTTTTACCCGGGTCCAACTCCTAATATTTATTATACTTTATATTATCATTTTTTTATATATAAATTTTTAGCTTAAATTTTTCACATTTGGGTCAGAATATAGAGATAGATTTAAGGGTTGGGACCCGATTTTTTTAACAGGTATAGACCGTTTTTACTTCAAGAACCACATATAAAAAATCGATAAGGTTTTTATAACAAGTAAGTAACGCACTTTAAATTTAATACGTAGAATTTTTACCATGTTTAATTATAGCCCAATAAGGTGCCATTGGCATACAAGAACGTTTAATTTCATTTTATACAATGTAGAAGTTATTAATTAGAGATTAACTTATTTTTATGCAATGTAGAAGTTATTAATCAGAGATTAAATTATTTTCTTAGTAAGCTATAAAAGTATTTATTAACTTGAAAAAAAAATTAAGAAAAAATGTATGCATAACCTGCATTTAAACCCTTTAACATTACTAAACAATATATGATTAAATATTAGTGTATATGACAAGTGAAACTCAAAATTGCATTTATAGTTACTTTTTTGATGCATCAATATAAACATTATGAAGGTTGTGTCAGAAATATAATTTGAGCACGAGTGCAGACTGTAATTCGGGGTTGTTCACCGACAGTACGATTCACCGACAGTCAATTCACCGACAAGTTCATTCCACCGACAATAATTTGACCGACAAAGTAATTCTGGTCATTGCCGTTAGGGTCAGGTTATAATTAATGTCGGTGAACTGATTGAATAACTTGTGTAATAAGATGTTCATCAGCTTAAAACCTACGTATAAACCATCCCAAATTTATAAATATAATTGCCATTGTATAGTACAATGCCAATATGTGCATATAAATAACGATTGTATACGTATTAAAAACATCATACGTAGCTAGGTGCATGATCTATTTAACCAATTACATACTGAATTTGAGTAAATAATTACTAAATTAAGTAAAAGTTCTAATGTAACGGATGTAACGGTAATGTGAGTTTTTTATTTTGGGCAATAATAAATGATACATATACATCACATAAACAAACGTAAAATTTGCTTAAATCTCAATTTAAAGTTTGTCAAATATATTTTGTATGCTGGTCCAATGATTGGTGATGGTGTATGAACTGATGATTGATTTGAGGATCGATAAATTTTATTTATCAATTGTTAGATGTACCAATCATTTTATCCATATTTAAAAAATTTTACACAAATGATCTGCGTGACAAATAATATCTTTAATTTAACCATTCTAAATGCAAGATTTTTTCTACAAATCCAGATTCTGGCTAAATATATGCTTAACCTTTATAAATTCAAAAATTTCATAGTTATATAAATGCAAATTTTCACATAGTTATATAATTACATGTTGACTAAAATGGTAAATAATTTAGTCATGATTGTGTTTCTTTTAGAAAAATGGCTTTCGGAAATCATACAATAACCTATTTAAGACACTGGCAAAATTATAATGTCATATATGTTATGACACTATTATATGATATTGTACCATGACACGTCATATAAGTAATATGAGTCATATGATATTATCTTCCAAGAAAACTTGACTACATGGTACGTATATAATGTATAGAATTATAAACATCTGCAGTATATCGATATACATGCAGGATAAGACTAATTTTGGTCAGGTGCGTCTGAAATTACAATCATTATGACTAATTAGTCATGTGTGCTGTAATTCAACAATAGTACTTTATTTGTGATTATTGCTTTATTGTTTAATTTTCTTTTGCATTCATATATTTTATATATTTTTGACAAAATATTGTTATCATTAAGAGATGTTTGAAATTTTGGATTATCACTTTTAATAAAGTAAATTCGAAGAATTTCTGTCTTGTTTGATTTATACCTTTGCTTTATAAAATAGGAGAATCTCACCATCAATTAACACTTATTTATTTCGCTTTGTATATTATATCTTAATGTAATTTTAAAATTTCACACAGTGTTTTAGTGTTAATTAACGCCTTCTACACGTGTTTAAAGTCTATGACCTTTTTTGGCTTGCACATGATCATTCCATAATTGTCCATGTCTGCGACGTTATATGAATTGCATAAGAAATATTAATGTAACTGCGTATACATATACGTAATAACCTATGTCAAAATAATGTACTGTACATTTAGAACAACTATCTATTAATTAAATATAACCCCAGATTTATTAATCTGTGGTTATTTACTAATATATATAAATTTGACATGCTGCACAAACGATGTTGGTACGTATTTACCGTTACCTACATACATATGTACCGTTACCAAAATTTCCTCGAGTTTTCATTAGGATTGTAATAAAGAGCATAAGTGGTTTTAGAGGACTAAAAAAGAAATCAAAATTTAATTTTAATTTGTTACAATTACTATTCGTACTTAAAGAAATGCACTGAGGATGCTGTACACACGGTCATTAGTTAAACTTAAATCAACTAGGAATGGAAAGTTGTTCTCGCTTAATCTATCCTATTTATTTTTTAGAAATAACTTAAAAATGATCTTTACTATAAATGTTTCATTTAAGTTGCAGATAGTCTATAAATAACGCACTATTTCATATTCTAAATAAATAATAAATTTATCTATTTCTAGCTCTAGGATATTGAACCATTTATTCCGAAGCAGAGTAACACATGAACTTAAATACGTATTTCTTTGTCAAGTATGTATATACATTTACGAAAATAGCATGAATAATTATGGCTTAGTGTTTAAATTTAATAAATGAATACATACACTCACTCTTGTACTGGACAATGCAACTATATATGAAATAGCGGATATTATTTCCATTTAGACTGTGTCACTTGCCCGTTAAAGAAACAAGTTTATTATTTTTATGAATGACATGAATGACATGAATGACATGAATGACATGAATGACATATATATATGTTTATCAATCTGATTAAACTATTATGAGTTGACGCCAAGGCATATATGAAACACACCGCATATGAAACATACTAAACAAAAAGACACATACAAAAGATCTGTGGCTCAAATAAAGTTTTATTTAATTTATTGCTGTATTGTTTATCGATCATTAAAAGTTAATCACAGTAATTAAGAACTAGTGAACCAATAATTTACTTAGTAAAGAAAAAAAAGGTTTCCTTTGGAAAACGCCAGATTCCAAGAATGAAAAAAAACAGTAAACATATCTCCACTATCTACTATGTTATTTCACTGGTTCTTATGCGGATCACGAATTAAATTTAATTCCTTTTTCTACTGACACCCTTCCATATTCTTATTGTATCACTCATAAATTGATCTATTCGTTAACCGAGACGAAGATAAGTTGACAATTTCTTTATTTCCTTTTGAACCATTTATAGTTAATTCACCAATTCTTTTTATAGTCAGTTTCTTAAAATTGGTACATATGTACTTGTTATTGGTCATGTTGTGGATGATAACTGATTATTCACTAGGATCACTAGAATACTGTTTTTATAACGTGATCTTCGGCCATGTCATAATGTGGTATCTGCTGTGAAGAAATCAGCGATTATCGACCAATAATACGCTTATCAGACATGTTTTATGTAACACTGAACGATTTTGTGTAACTCATTCGGTCTTCTAATAAATTTTCATTCACCTCTTAAGAGGTTATGAAAATTTGTGTATTATATTAGGAGGTTGCCGAATAACTTACACAAAATCGTTCAGTGTTTACACAAGACATGTCGGATAAAAAGATTATAAAAACGAGTGGAATTTGCCTCAAAAAATCATGTAATGAAATCTTTTATCATTTTTATTTAAGGGTAAGTAATTATTCAATATTATATGAGCCAAAGGAAACCTGTACATTTAAAATTAGCTCCAATTAAATCACAAATTGCGGGCCTTCGAAAATGCATAATAATGTTTGACTGAACACGCGTGAATTGACGAAATCTAATAGCTTCATCAATTCTCCAGTGACAAAACTTACGATTTTGTCAATTCACAATGGCTAAAATAATTTCAAGATTTTTTGTCAAGTTCAAGACTTGTTACATTTTAATAAATCAAGTTTTTAAAATTAAACTATGTTAAATACTATATACGGGTTTTCTTCTGGCTACTTCAAAAATTCTTGTTGGCCAACTGAAACATAAACAGAAACTCGGCATTGTGTAACTCAATAATATTATGGCAAGTCTGGAATGTGTAACAGGTTAGTGCCAGAATACCTACGTAGAACGATTTTACCTTAACGTTAATACAAATGGTAAAGAATTTTGCGCGTGATCGACAACATGCAAAAGATGTCACACATTCCGGTCTTGCAATATTATGATAAGGGACCCACCCACAAAAAATTTTACGGCACGTGATTCTAGCCAATTATATTGAAGGAGCAGAAAATCCCGTCTTCGCGAAAATCTTTCGCTTAATTCGATTGTTTTGATTTTACGTTACACCTGATTCTTCGATCTAATTGGCTAAAAATCCCGTTCTGGAAAATTTTCCCAGAGGCAAAACATTCATTTTTAATACTCCTGCACCTACTTTTTTGGGTACCGAAAATTCCAGGAGCCCTGGAACTTTTATTGATGTTTAAAAAATTTCTTGAAATACGCTTCATGATTTAATTATCATGAATCACGTGTCAAAAGATTTTTTTATACGGATATTAGGACTGTAAAATTTGAAAATAGTGATTTCAAAAGTTCTAGAGTAAAGATACTGTCAAATTAAACTAGAATAATGAAATAATGTCACCAATATTAGTACAATTGCAGAAACTAATTTTATCATCATCACTAGTTCAGAGTGCCCAACACTAAAGATGCAATTGGCTTTATTTATTAATTTTTTATTATTTTATTTTTTAATAGGGAATGTCTAAATTATATACACTACCTACTGAAATTGTAATATACATCTATAAACGTGTAAGGTACCCCATAAATTTAATGCGATGTTGCAGGCGACTAGCAATAATATTTAAAGATCCTCAAGTGAAAGCTGCATGGATTATTTATCAATTTGGAGTTGCACATTGTCTTTTTTATGCTGTAAAATTAGGACCCTCTTTTTTGGACGTATCTGTTGCGCAAGCAATAATCGCACAAGGTGGCATACTTTCTAGATATTTTATGCAAAGGCTTCATATGAATTTCGGTCCTTATGATGATAAATTAATAGAATTAAAAGCTGCTCATGGTATAGGTTTATCACAATCTCAAAATTCACAAAATATTCCATGGGCGAGCAACTTGCCAATCATTGTTTATACATTCCTGTTAAAAGAGGCATCTAGAATATTTGGTCCTGATCTTTGCTTAAAAGGTAATGATATTGGACTACTCCATTTTTATTCCGGAGGACCACACTCAATTGATTACGCTCCACTTATATTGGCAAAAAATATGGACAATATCAAAGATCTGATATTACGTTTTAAATTCATTCCACTTCCGCCAAGAAAACTTGATATCCAACAGGAAAATAATAATCAAGATAACAATACTTCCTCTACTCCTGAGGAGTACCCTTCTAAAGACGGCCACGAAAATCGACGTCAATTAAATATAATTGTAAGATCAATTGTAATTTACAAAGACATCGTTAATTTATGGAAAGAAATTGGTTACTATGAAATCTGTCATGACTTAAATGAACATGTAATGCGAGACGCGCTCATTATTATGTTTTCTCCAACTCTATCTCCCAGATGGCCTAAGCCTGACATTAAGACCATTAGTGCACGATTAACTGAGTTAATTGAAATCGGATTTCATTTAAATTATCGTGATATTCTTAGCATCCTTCTCGTATTCGAAAAAAGATTAGAAGAAATTGGCAAAATCTTAATAGAATCATTTGCAGAAACAAGACACGAATCACTCGTAAATTTATTACGTAATTGTTTAATAGAAACAATTAATCCAAAATCAAACTTTAAGAATCAAAATATTCTAAATTTTATGTATGCATACTTTCCCGACTCCCCTGAAATTGAATTGAATCGAGCATTTCAATTTTATTCGAACTTTGTACAAGTCGAACGTAATTAATAATAGCAAAATCTGAATATGACAATCATTACATGAAAATACATATACTTGGCAAAATTTTATATAATAAATAATAGTTTCCAATACGTAACATGTAACATAACCTAACTCTAATAAAGAACGACTAGCAAAACGTGTTCTAACATACGTGTTCTAACTTTCGTGTTCTAACTTCGTGTTCTAAATTTTTTTCTATAAAGTTATTGTTTACGAAATATTTATTTATTATTCTGAATAAAACTATAATATTTGATTAGGATATATTAAAATGCATACAAGTGATTACCCCAACCGTGCTGTATAAAGATCGAAATTTTGAACCAGGTGGTTTTGACACCTAATGGATGATAATAATAATGACAATAATTTTTTAATAGTAATGGTAACAATTCTTTAATAATAATTGCAATAATTCTTCATTAGTAATGATAATAATTCCAAATAAAAGCAATTGAAAGATATTATTTGTAATCATAAATATAATGAAATTTATAAATGTTAGTATTTAAAATTGAGATATTAATATTGATACGTATAGTTGTACTGTACGTAGAATTAATTAGTGCACTTCGGCATATGCCGCACACTACAGGACATTCGTGTAACCTAACGATTAAGTTTAGTACAAGTAGCTTATAGCGAACATGCACTTACGACACTTTAAAGTAAAACGGGATAGGTATATCATTTAAAAAGTACTATTAACTACGGAAACGGACACCCTTACACCGGAATCACCAGTTTAACGGACCAAATTTGAAGTACCGAATTTTTAATATATGAGTGCCACCCCCGAATCCGGAAAGTACAGGTTATTATCATCACTAATGATTTTAATAACTGTACTTTCCGGATTCAGGTTTTCCCTTGGCGGCACTCATATAATTTATAATGATTTATAACGGATTTAATAGTAAAACAGTCATATTACGTATAACAGAACTCTTTGCCAGCCCATATATGAATTCAATATAATGCGACAACTTACAACTAATAAGAATGCAAAAAAATCTTTTCTTTTTTTTAACCATTATAACGGAAATCCAGCCTAACTCTATTATTAATTCCGTTATATAGGTTATATAGGTATAACGAATATGCTATATACCGAATTTTTTTAGTTGACAGTATCTGATTATGATAAATAACATTCGTATGGGTCTATATGATTTTGAAATCACATGATTCTCATATAGGCTTGTGTTCGAGGAGAGACCGTCATCTGTTACACAAATGCAGTTCATTTCCGATAACCCCCGAGGGGTGATGTCATCAATCGTCGATCAAATTTCGCAAATTAGAACTTGTGTTTTTTTTCTTAATCTTTATGACAATTGCTTAATAAAGATTTTGATTTAATGATTGCGGCTTTTTATTTATTTTCAATATTAACAAACGACTTCAAATTAGCAGATCTTATTTAACGAATTATTAAAAAATGATCAATTTATGATTACAGCAGAGACAGTGCCTGATCCAAAGTGAATCCCTCTCACCTGTGATCAATCACGAATTAAATTATTTATGTTGGATTCAATTGTGATGGATATAATCCCTCACC